CACACACATTCATACAGACACAGCTGGCTGCAGGTCACTGCTCTCACACAGGCCTATGAGGTTTTATCAGCTCACAGAAGATGACAGTTCTGCTGCTAAACTATGCCCACTGTGTACTGTAAAAATTTAAGGAGGGAAATAGTGGATAGTGGGGCAATAAGACTATACCACTTTGTTGGCGATTTTTTACACTGTATATTGTATTTAATAAAACCTATGCATGACCAAGGCTTAGTTTATGTTATTACATTATTTACGTATTTTAACAGTGCTCATAAATATGATGCAATTGTGCCTTGAAGGTGTTGGAAGCTAGTTCAACCTGGATTGAAGGGCAATAGCTGGAAAAAATATATAGAACGGAACTCATTACCAGCCTGAGCCTCTGGCAATCTGCAAAAATAATTAGTGCTAATTATAATAACATATCCCTTTTTCATACGGAGCACAAAAACACTAAATATGATTACTGCTCATTTATATAAATTGAATAAAAGTGTGAGATCTCATGGTAGCTCTTCTCGTAATGTTAGATAAATCTCCTTTCTCCCCAATTGTTACTCCACTGTTACAGAGGCTATTTGGTGTATACCAGCTTCCTCCACAGTACAAGTCTCTAGACTGTCTTCATTCACTTGAACTCTCTTGAATTTACATGTAGCTGACTGAAACAGAAGAAAACTGAAGACAGAATTATACTTCCAGGATCTGTTTCTTCTGCATGTCACTGGTAACTGTGAGAACTTATCTTCGCAGCTAGAATTAGTAACAGCAGTGGAGCCTTAAAGGCAGGAGGGGAGAAAATAACCTGAAACTTATGGTTTCCAACCATAAAGTTCCATATAGTTGTGCAGGGATAAAGGAAATGTGCTGGTCAAGGAAGGTGACTTAGGTGTTTAATGGTGAGCAAGTTATGTGAATATTCCCCTCGAGGTATTTAACTTACTCATGAACTAAGAAAACCATTGAGTGTAACTTCTTAAAAATGATACGGTATCTTTTGTAAGATACTGTGATACAGTCTGTGATACAGACTGTGGAGGTCACGGAATTTTAAGTTCTGGAGGAACATAAGAACTCACCTAATGGCACATCTGCACCCTTTGCACTCGTGTATTTTGGAGTGGCAATGTCTAAAGCAGCATGGAAGCCCACTTCAAAATAAATATATAATCATTTTCAATATTTAAACTATTGAAAATATTACATATCAATCTGATCTAGATGCAGCCAATAAAAATACCAATTTATACACATACTATACAGTAAAGAACATACAGCTTTCTAGCAGACTAAATTAATTTAGCTTGATAAGAGCAAATTGATTTACAAACAATATGCAGATAAGAAGTTCAAGGATAGTGAAAAAAAAAAAAAAAAACCTGCCAATGCAGTTTTTGTGCCTGCTAATTGCTTTCTTGGTCATATCCCAGTACTCAAAATGTTCGCCAGTTGGAAAAAAATGTTAGCCCAGTTGGAAGCATTGTAAATACTCTGTATTTTGAAACTCACTGGAAACAAACAAGCAAAAACAAAAAACATTTACAGACACCTGAGAAGGATTCAGTTGCTTGCTTTATTTCACAGAAGAATGAACATCTCAGCAAACATACAGTAGTGTCATACTTCCACATATCAGCAGAGCCCAGGCAGCAGCAGGATTTTAATGATCTCTATGCTTTATTGGATGTTAGAAGGGAAAAAGTAAACTGAGCACAATTTACACATACAAATATTGTCAAAATATCCCTGGTTTAATTCTGTTTTAATTAAAATAGATCTTATGCTGCCTCCTGTTGGTCAACCACAAACAGAAACACTTCAAATTAGACTCCACATTTCCAAATGCTATCAGCACATCCTACATCCTACACCTTTCCTAATACTTATTATTAATCAGAAGAGGTATGCAGATTTCTTAATGGAGTAACACTGGGAACAAATCTGACCCAATAAATCTTACTCCGTTTTTTAAATATAATGAATTTTTAACAGCAGTAAACTGACTTAGTACTAACATATTTAGAATATAGAAAATAAATTAATTAATACAGAAATAATAATTATCAGGTCTGTGCAAACATAATCAATATAAACACCTGAATAATTGATATTTATTGTAACTAAACCAGTACGATAACATTAGCAAAGTGCCATAATGTTTTCAGTGCATTCTTATAAAACTATCCAATATAATCATTACTGGGTATTAAAATCTCACATGTATATTATCTTAATGTATATTGTACTGATCATGCTTATAATGTATTTTGTGACATACAGTAAACAACTATTAGAAATGTTTTGGTTACATTATTTAGGTGCAAATAATAGCATATACTTTTACATGCAATTTGTATGTTTTAAACATTTTAATATATTTCAGTGAGAACGTAGGTAATCATTATCTAGTAACGCATTATTTTCAGAGGAACATACTTTTTTATTAAGTTCTGTGAGCTTGGAAAAGTCAGAAAAGCTGCAGAAATCACCCTGCACTAATTTTGAGATCTTTTTAAATTCTGCAATTGCTGTGTAGTCAGCTAAAAATATATCTTTGATTCAGACCTATAGAAGTAATTCATGCAAGAAACCCATATTGTTTTCAGTAGTGCAGTTGACTTTGCTGAGATTTCATCCATTGCTAGGTATATTACAAATCCTGTGATAAATAAGTCATGACATTTTATCTTAAAGCCTTGTTTTTAACCACGACTGTAACATACCTTCTGCATTCAATTCCATTATTAGATTCAGCCCTCCATATCAATCCAAATCAGTTGAGTTAGAAGAAACCTCTAAGGGCCATCTAGCCCAACTCCCCTGCCATGAACAGGGACTCTACAGCTCCATTAGGTGCTCAGAGTCCCACCCAGCCTGGAAGTCTGCAGGGACGGGGCACCACCATCTCTCTGGCCAACAAGTACCAGTACTTTGTTACCTTTAGTGTAAAAAAATGTTTCTCTTACATCTAGTCTAAATCTCCCCTTCCTCTTTCAGTTTGAAACCATTTCCCCTTCTCCTATCATGTTGAAATTACAGCAAATAACTTTGTCTTTTTTCCCCTCCATGAGTTTACCTACATAACAGAAGAAAATTCATTCCATTTCACAGTAACTTTTTGTAATAAATAGTAAAAAGGATCGGATGCTACTAATTAATTTCCTTGTCACCAATTAAGAGAGTGAAACACCATTTGAAATTCACGAATGATTGGTTGGACTGGGAACTGATTTTAGTTCCTGTGCAAATGTAGCGTAGAATATTAAAGAAGAATGTCTTTTTTCCCAATAAAGTTATGTTTAGGTTTATGTATGTGTGTGTGAGAATAACAAGTAATTTATCACGTACGCTCTGTTGGGTGTCATGTGGCAGAGGTATATGCATACAGCAAGTATATCAAATAAAAGAAACTGTAAGAAAATACTTGGAAGAAAGAACATCACCTGAACTTATGACTGACTCAGTGCTGTTTATGCAGCCCAGCAATTTGCTCACAACAGAAGCAACAGAAAGTAACTTTAAGTTCTCTAATCTCTTCCAACTTGCATAGCTGTTTATACCCACATGAAATGGGCATAATGTTGTCATTGCATAAATTACATGGTCATTACTTGGGTATAGAAAGAGCACAAAACTACAAGCTAACAAGAATTGGGCCTCTGTGCAGCAAAAGAAGACAACGACAGCACCTCCTACTTGGACACAAGCGCTACGGAGGAACAGAAGATAACAAAGAAGAAAAACTGCTCACTCCTTCCAATAACCAGTGATAGTTCAAGAAGAGTGCAACTTCTATCCAAGGAGATTCTGCTCCCTCAGCTGCTACCCATAAATAAGGGTGAGGAGGGATGGTCCAGACTCCACCCTTTCACCCACTCAGGTGCACTGCTTGCACCCAAGCTCCCCAGGTTAGCCATGTCTTCTCACCTGATGCTCAACCACTGGTTCAGGTTATCACCTGGCAATTCTGTGCAGCCTTGTACTTCTGATGTAAAATGACAGGTTGTGATAATTAAATGAAGTCTATGCTACCTTGACTAGCCTACTAATGCTAAAATTCCTATTCTCTTGTATTCATATTTTTTTTCCCCCTTCATAATTTAATAAGCTGGAATAGTATTCTCCATCTCTCCTAAACTATTCAATGCGTATCATTTTTACTAACAAGCAGTAGGCATGCTCTGATATAAAAACGATTGTAAAGGTTACCAGTTTTACTGTACTTATAATATGGAGATTCACTATGAAAGATCAAAATAAATGTGGAAATTACCTGAAATACTACTACAAGAAACTATTTACTTCTACAGAACTGACACATATCTTAATACAAATTACTGAGGGGGAAAGTTCCATTATTAATATGTTATCCAAATGTGCATAATTTTCACTTACATCCTTATGAAAATATTTATAATATTATCTAACTTTTGAAAGATATCTGATAAATTATACAAATGACAAAATTGTAGATTTCTGCTGTTTACTGTTTGAAAGAGAAATGCGTTGCTAGGCAATATTAAGTCTTAAGCATTAATATTGAGTTTTACTTTTGCCAAAAGTACATGCAGCAGAGATGTGGTAGCAAACTTACAGTGGTTGTCTGAAGCCGTGTAAAAGATCATTAGGTAACTCACTAAATTTTGTTCATTTTTAAGCTGCTTGGAGAATACATGCTTAGATGTATAGAACCCTTCTGTCTGGCATAACACAACTTAGTGGCCTGATTAGTACATAAGGGCTACTAAAATCTTATTTAAATATTTGTAAAGAAAGAGAATTCTCTGGCTGTGGAAGATTACAAATGAGTTTATGAAACCTAGATAATTCCAGTGTCCTGTTGGACAGACACTTTGTATGCATCAGATCAAATTTACTTCACGGTAGTATTAATACTGAAAATCCATTACAATTTCAACATAATAGATTACTATAGTTTCTCTAGCAATATATTGCATAGTGTTTACCTTGTAATAGTTTATCACTTATAATTGCCATGAAGATGAAAGTGTTTTAATTCATTTAAAATACTACAGAAGTTTTTAAAAAATGATTTATTTCCCTCAGAAATGCTACCTACTTTAAGTATGGGTTTGTGTTTTTTTCTAACTTTGTATTCTGTGTATTACAAGATACGAACTTTCCCGGTAGTTAACTGAAGCAACAACTAAAACTTAATTTTGCAACTTTCTGCTGTAAGCAGCCTATTGGCTGCTCAGCAGAAACCGATGCAGACTTCAGAGATGGAAGACTTCTGTTAGAAAACATCCTGAAGTGTTTTTTCTTGCAGTGATTGAGGTGACCATCTGTGCAGCAAAGTTCCCACCTGAATCATCCACCCTGTAGAAATCTTGCTCACCCTGCAAATTGTTATCAAAGTTTGTCTTGCCACAGCAACGGGATGAAAACAGAAAGTACAGCTACTACTAAGGCACAAGGATGGAAAAAAACTGGTCCAACTGAAGAGCTGATGTAAGATGATGAGAATTTTCAGTCTCTTCAAGTTAGACACCTGGTTTTACTGCTGTGAAGATGCTGCAAAGGTCACTTTGGCTTTTTCCCTTGCTCAGGTCATTCTAATACGATAAAACTGACAATGAGGTTCTCTAACAGGTTTGTGAATATAAAAAAAAAGAAAGAAAAAAAAAAAAACAAAAAAAGCCGGCATGAATGCAGATTTCTTTAAACTTCAGTTACATAGGGAAAACAGTATCACTATCAGTTTCCTCACTCAGCAATTTATCACCTGGGGCAACTGATTATTACAGAAATAATGGCACATACTACAAAATAAATTCCTCATAACTTTTTTTCTGAAAAGTAGTATTTTCAAATTATTCAGATAATTATAGAGAAGACTTGTATACAAAACTAAGTAATTCTTGATATATAATGGTTAGGATGGATGGGAATTTTATAGACCCTTTCAGAAACATTTTTATAGCAGACAATTTAAACTGAAGATTTAAAACAAAAATAATACATATTTTTCTGCAAACTAATACTGAAAAAAATCTGTTCTAAAATTTGTGCATTTAAATAGATCATTTTGACTCAGGAATTTCAAAATTCTCCAGAGCAAATTGTCATTACAGATGACCACGGGTCCCTATATTTATTAAACTGAATGACCTGACAATAAAATTCAGTTAAGGCTCTTGGCATTGGGGAAACTTCTTCCCACTCAGACCTGTTACTGTGGTAGACTTGAACTTCGTCTGTGATTTCTTCTGGAGCATAATCACCACCTAAGATATAAATTTTGTCTTCTGTCCCAACTGCCCCTGCATTAAAGCCAGCACATTCAAAAGATCCTTCCCCTTTCCAAACACAGGTTTCTGGGCAAAAGCTGTAGACTTTGTAGGTGGAGAGATCACATATGTACAACGTGCAGTTCACTGGAACAGCTTTGATTAGAGTTGCATGGAAAAACTGCCCAAATTCTGCTACAAGCTCCGACCACTGATCAGTCATAGCGTTATACTTAAAGAAACAGTCAAGAGACGGATTAAAGGCATCAGTGATCTCCACTTCTGAGCCAAGGACGTAAATTATATTCTGACATGCACTTGCTTCTGGATAGTAGATACCTCTTGGTAATTGGCTTACAGATTTCCAGTCTTTGGAGAGAGGATTATATGATTCTACATCTAAAAGACTTCGGGTTTCTTGAGCTCCTCTGGTCTTTCCACCTATTACAAACAACTGGTTTAAAGTGACAACAGATGTGTGCATTGTCCTTGGTTTTCTCATAGCTGACACTATGGAGAATTCATTGCGGACTGGACAGTAGCACCAGGTTTGGTCAGTGGCATCATGAAACGGTTCAGCAATATGAAGCCTGACTGTCCTGTAACAATTCCCGTTGCATCCTCCAGTTATAAATATTTTCTCTCCGTAGCTTGATAAGCTTGACCCTGGAAGATCAATCATGTGTGTATGTGGTAGTTCTTTCCATTTATCTGTTTTGATGTTGTAGCAAAATGTATGCCTGCTTTCTCCGTCTTCATCAGTTTTATGAACAAATATGTATTTTTCTGTTGTTGAAGGACGTGCATCTGGAAATAGTCCGCTGAAGTCTTGCACACTTTTGACTGCATCATTGATTATTACTGAACAATTAGCACTTTTAAGTAAATATTCTTCAGAGTGCAGAAAGTCTTGCAAAGTCTTTTCAGGTAACTGGTGTAGCCTCACTTTTTTGATCAAATTAGGCAGATATTTCTGTCGTGTTTCTATGTTATGTTTGGTCCATTGAAGAACAGCATTCAACACTGATTCTTCCTCGGGGACATTTAGTTCATCAGCTTCAAGACATTTTTGCAATATCTCAAAATTCATCTCCAAAAAGTCACTTGATCTTAGTAGCAGGGAAAAGTGGTGCTGTACAAAATCTAGTGCATGATCAAATAAGCGGACAGAACCATAACTTTCTGACAGAGAAAGCAACTGTAAGCAATTGACAAGATCGATACTTTTTATTAGAAAGTCACTGCAAGCTTTGGAAAGGAGTGAAACCTGAAGAAATGATGACAGCTGGAAGAGCATTTCCACGTTATCATTTGTTATCTCTGTCTTTCCCGTGTAAGCATAATCAAGAAAAGCTTTCACTGCCTTGGGTGATAGATTACTAATAGTAACATTGCCATCATCTCGTTCTTTCATATTAACTTCAAACATGGCTCTGTGAATAAAATATAGAAGATATACATAGGAATTAAGGACCTAGCAAACAGAACAGAAGGCAACAACGGTGTGGGAAGGAGGAGAAAACTGGGGGGCATAATAAGGTGGGATAATTATAAATCTAAAATGTGAAGGTTAACAATAATAAAAATACATTGACTTTAAATGCCATCAGATGAAAGGATTGGTGATAACGTACTCAAAGCAATGGTTCAAAAATGATAGCAGCTGTGTTTTCTATGGATTTTCAAAGTGAGATGAAATCTACAACTTAATGGGACTGAAAGTTGTTAGAGGCAGCGTCAGTTTCAACAGTTTGAGAAAGGCTGATTTAAAAAATATAAAGCAAAAAAACCCGATTTGATTTAGGTCATGCACTGTGGATAAATACAGAAAATTAAGAGGAAAAAGGCTTTCAGAACTGCAGGTTGGAACAAATGGCAGCGTGGATGATGGGTGCATTCCTCAGGAATAAAAGTGGGTGAGTGGTGAGAGGAGAAAAAGTATGAGGAGCAGCTTTCATTTTTTGTTTTAGAGCTGACAGACAGATATATGGATACAGGCAGATGTCATAAAAAATGAGGTTTTGATATAGCATTTGATGATAAAATGTCCTGTACAAAAAATAGATTGTGACTGACTACCAAGGCAATTGTTGAAATTGTGAAAGAAACATTATTGATTGGTAGATCTGTCTAAACTTTATTGCAACTTTGAGTACTTTATTACTAAATACATAACAACCACATTTTAACTACTGCGCACAATCTAACATTATGAAATGAAATGATTAAGGTATTGCAATCTGGCAAGAGAACCATTCTGCCATGTCATTTGCCCTTACCCTCCTGGAGCATAAGCATCAGTGTCCCAGATTTGACCAAAGAAGATAGTGGAGAAAGATTTAGACAAATGATTCCAAATACTGAGTATAAAATTTGGATTAATAATAAATCATTGGTAGTTCCTATTTAAAAATAAAATGAGTTTTTTATCATAGCTCTCTTACACGATTAGTATATGGATAGTATGTGATACTTAAAATCCCATACTTTTATGAAGCCAAAGAAGAAAATGAAAACCGCTGTGTACAGCCATACTCTTTGGAAAGTGAACATTCAGTAAAGCAAAAACTCGCCTCCTGAACAAGAATCATAGAATCACATAATCACATAATCTTGGAAAGGATCTACAAGATCATCTAGTCCAACCATCAAGAAGGTATAATTGCAATAAGAAACTTACAACCTGAAACTTTTCTACATAATAAATACTCAGTCTTTTGAAGCTATGATACAAATCTCTAAATTGCAAATTAACATGGAAAGGATACTGGGTGCCTAGCAAATAAAGCTTCACTTACAAGCAATAGCAACTGAGCAATGCCAGCAGAAAAGCAGGAACTTTGAATCAAAAAGCTAACAAGTAGGAAGCAAAATGTTGCTGAATCTTGGGTATACACAGTAAAACCAAAACGAAGTCCACAGGAAAGAAAGACAATCTTTCAGACAAATAACTTTTTATCTAGTGGACATAGGTACTTTTTATGCTCCAAAGGTAATATATAAGCCTTGCATTCCAACTTATGAATTTTATGTCTGCTAACACCTGCTACACACAAACTTGTCTGGCAAATTTTAATCCCAAAAGCCTATTGGTAGCGAAAACACTACTCCAGCTCTAAAAATTACTACTGGAAGCCATTTCATGCTAATATTCCTTTCTGTTGGAGTCTCCGTGGAGCCAAGCAGTACTGTACGTTAAAGCAAAGCAAGATCTGTTGCTGCAATGAAGAAATATCTCATCTGCATTTCCTCTTTAGTCAGCAGTCCTAAGGACACAGTCTAGTCTATGTCCCGTGTCATATATGGCAGATTTATGCAGACTGTGGGATGTTCAAAGGCCATTTGAGAATAATGTATCACTTACATACAGGCAACTGAATTAAGTTCAGTTTCAGGACCCTGGATTTTCATTTTTAGAGCATCTTACTTTTGTGTTTCATTAAAGAATATGTTTAGAAACAGATTTGTAGTTTGGGTTTGCACATCTCTCTCTCTGGATGCCTACCTGTGCGACCTCATGTAGGGAACCTGCTTTGGCAGGGGGCTGGACTCAATGATCTCTGGAGGTCCCTTCCAACCCCTACAATTCTGTGATTCTGTGATTCTGTGATCTCAGTTTTGCTAACAAAAAGGTTAGCAAAGTTCTTCATAAATTCTGTATATAACAAATCTGTCCCTTGGGAATGTATAGCTTTAAGTATCATAAGTAAGAAGGAAGATCACAGATTTGTTTCACACTGAAAGGCTGAAATTTTAGTTTGGAAAAAATAATAAGTATCTGCTTAAATAACTCTGAAGACAAACTGTGCTATTCTGATTACTCATCTTATTATAACAAAATCCAACCCGATTCCAAAACCATTAACTACTTATCCACAATTGTTCAGTGCAGTACATATCTGGAATCAATCTGTTATGCTTCCCAATATAAAGTACACAGACTGTTCCATGCAAAGTCAAATCTTGAAGATACACAATTTATGTCAGTTCTGCCGAACAGAGGAGTCATGCAGTTTATGGTTTAACATTTATGTTCCAGTGAACAGTGAGCAGTCCCAGTGAAATACACAGACTGCTGTCTGAATCTCAAACTCACAGGACTCTCAGATCGCTCTGGAAATCTAACAGTGCAAGGATTTACTTTACTATCTGTACTACAGTGTTTGACAGCTTTGATGAAAACTCTGCAGACATACAAAAGCTGTGATGATTTCTCTTTTAATTTTTGTAATAATATTATTTCCCTCCCTTCCAAAGAACTTTTAGTCCATTTCCTGCTAACTCATGCCAAAATTATACTTACCTGAAAAAATCACTGCAAGCTGCCAGTACACAACGATGACAAGGAATGACTTCATCTTTCACAATAATTTTAAAGTCAAAAAATATATTTTGTTCTCTGAACTTCTGTAGTACTTTTAGAATTTGTTGTCCATGTCCTTCAGCCACTAAGGAATTAATTTTATTTTCAGGAACAGAAATTCCATTGCAAATAGGTCTGCTAATGTAATCTCGATTGGCCATGTTTTCTTCAATCTATTCATGAACCTGAAATGGAAAAATAAGTAATTGATTTTATGGTCATTATTTTTTCTTTTTAATAAGTACGCCATAAACCAAAAATCCTAGTATTGAAATTGGTTTGCGAGTCCCATGCACTAAATGTAAGTGACATTTACACTGAATTGTATAATACTTCCACTTTGCAAAATATATACAAACATACTTTGAAAAGTAATGTATCCAACATAGTAGCCACCTGCAAGAATTTTTTCAACAGAGTCCACAGGAAGCACACCAAGGAGCATGCTACAGATTGTAATGGTCATTTAAGACAGACTGTTCCTAGGCTTACCCTCAAAAAATCTCAACTTCTTACAATTCGATTTCTCTTTCATGGCATTAAGAAACTTCAAATATATTTTATTTACACTTATCCTATGAGCTATTCATACTGCTACAGGTGCATAAGCTGACCTTTCAGAAAATTTTAGTCCAACTTCCCTATTTTAAAGCATAAAGAAACTTGGATTGCAGAACTCTGCATCCACAGTTCCAATTGTACTCGCAACAGATGATGGCCCACCCGAATCAATAAAGAAGGGGATGAAAAAAAAGTTCAAGCTAAATGTGGAGTCCAGGATAATATTGATTTTCTTCTTAAAATTTTGTAGAAAGGCTTATCTAGGTGATCAGGTGATACACTCAGAGCAAACTTAAAACATCAGGCAACCTTCTTCTTGGGAGGTATTTTCAGAGCAAACTGATCTATACTTTTATCTAGTCAGGTAGTTCCACCCACAACGAGATCACCATGTCTCCTGGAATAGAAGAGATCCATTGATCTTGATCCCAGCACTGGCATGCTTGAAGCTGGCATCTTATCATTCCCATGGCCAGACAATCTCACATATTCACTCTTTCCATTTTAAGTTTGAGGAACTAGGAAAATACAGAACAAGACTACCATTTACTCTGTTAATGTATGGTCCCATAAACCCCAGCTTCTGTAATTATAAAACTTTCTTTTGTATGTCAGAATGCTCTAGAATGCCCTTTTCATATGGCCTTCAATTCTGTTCCTCAAAAGACTAAATCTGCAAAAGCAGAGTTGCTTCAGTAAAACTAGTTATCCGCATCTGAATGAAAACTTGAAGTGAATCTCTATGCTTATTTGGCATTACATAAAATAAGTCTTTTTTTTTTTTTTCCCTTAAGGAAATGTGAACCTTTTCACAAATTTGTGGAGTTGATAACAGATAGTAGACATGTCCTCTTTTACATATATTTTCTATAGCATGCTCTGACCTGCTACTTGCTTTCTGTAGGTAAAATTACCAGTTTCAGTAATATTCATCTTTGTGTAAGGAACACAGAAACACCTAATGTTTGGACATCAGGTCCATCTCTGCGGGCAAAGGTATCACATAATCACTTTCATAATGACGGTATATATTCAGTTTTGTTTCACCACTAATATTTGCACCAAAAGACTATTACAGTACTATTGTTGCCAAGATCACATGCGTTCTTTTAAGTACACATTCAATTTATTCATGTTTACATTCATGTGATCTTCTGGCAGAATTGCCATTTGACTTAATTTTCCTCTGTGATGTTTATTCACCTGTAACTCTCAAGTGAAGACGTCCTCTCCCAGCTTTTGTTGGGACTAATTAAACAACTATCAGACTTTCTAAGGCCATTAATGAGACCAAATTTGTTTTTTTTTTCCACTATTTCTTGCACTATTCTCTTCATGCAGTCTAGTTCAAGCTCATCTTTCTTTCACTGTTATTAGATTTAGGGTTATGTAATCAATGGCTCTATGTCCAGGTGGAAGCCAGTAACGAGCGGCGTCCCCCAGGGGTCTGTCTTGGGACCAGTGCTCTTTAACATAGTTATTAATGACATTATTGATGGAATCGAGTGCACCCTCAGCAAGTTTGCTGATGACACCAAGCTGAGTGGTGCAGTTGACATGGTGGAAGGAAGGGATGCCATTCAGAGGGACCTCAACAGGATTGAAAGATGGGCCTGGGTGAACCTGATGAGGTTCAACAAAGCAAAGTGCAGAGTTTTGCACTTGGGCCGGAGGAATCCCAGGCATCCATACAGACTGGAAGGAGTGGTCCTTGAGAGCAGCCCTGCAGAGAAGGACCTGAGGGTCCTGGTGGATAAAAAACTTAATATGAGCCAGCAATGTGCTCTTGCAGCTCAGAAAGCAAATGGTATCCTGGGATCCATCAAGAGAGTAGTGGCCAGCAGGGTGAGAGAGATGATTCTCCCCTCTCTACTCTGCTCTTGTGAGGCCCCATCTGGAATACTGTGTCCAGGTGTATGGCAACTGCTGAATCACGGCCTGAACCTCTGATTGATCACCTGAGGCAAGCAATGAGTCAGCCACGGGAGCACAGATGAAGGCAATTCACTGGAGCTAGGCTCCACCTCTCCTAGACCCATTTAAGAGCGGACTAGCAGTAGGAAAGGGTCTCTTCTGGAGATCCACTCCACTGGAGTTTTGTAGTGAGCCTAGGATGTGGGTAAGCTTTCTATCTATTCTCTTTTTGTTATTGTAATTTGCTCTGCCAAACTCTCTTGTTTATTTCATAATTATGACATCTTTATATTCATTAACTATATGCTAGGTCTCAATCCCCCAGTACAAGAAACACAGGGAGCTGTTGGAGAGGGTCCAGAGGAGGGCCACAAAGATTGTTAGAGGGCTGAAGCACCTTGCCTATGAAGACAGCCTGAGGGAGCTGAGCTTCTTCAGTCTAGAGAGAAGAAGGCTGCAGGGTTTTTTTTGAAAGGGTTGATAAAAGCAGGATAAGGGGAAATGGTTTTAAGTTGAGGGACGGAAGACTTAGGTTGGATGTCAGGGGGAAGCTCTTTACTATGAGAGTGCTGAGGTGCTAGAACAGGCTGCCCAGAGAGGTTGTGGATGTCCACTCCCTGGTGGTGTTCAAGGCCAGGTTGGATGGGACCCTGGGCAGCCTGGTATTAAATGTGGAGGCTGGCAGGTTGGAGCTTGGTGATCCTTGAGGTCCGTTCCAACCCAAGCCCTTCTATGAGTTATTGCACAGCACGATGGTTAAATTCTCATCAGTGTCTCATCCAGTGGTTATCCACTGCATCCTAAATCCTAATCCATTACAGCAGAGTCTCCTTATCTTGTATTGAAAGCATATTTTATCAATATACCACTACTGTTGTTGCTTGATATTAAGGAAGATTCAAATGAATACTGTTGTTTAGCCTAATTCGCTCTTCCTTCTACTCTGCTGGAAATTAATACATCAATCAATTCTCATCTTTCCTGTAGCCAATTCCCATCTCACTTGATAGTTTTTGTACTAGTTTATCCTTATGGTAGATATGTTTGTGTTTTTTTAAAGCCCTACAAAATACTTGAACAAGATAGCTTAAATTTGGCATGTTAAAACAGGGCCAATTAGTATTTATAATTATTTAATGCATTCTCCTACAAGGCCATATGAATTAATCAATAGTTACAGTTATACTTATAAATACTTTATTGAGTTACTGACAGCAGGGTAAAAACATAGACGGCATGAGCATATGTCTGAAGCTCAGGAAAACTGGGCAATGTGAGTCCTTATTTTTACGCTATTTACTTCCACAGATTCCAGTTACAAAGTCTATCTAAATTACCAAGAACCAAACTTTATTAGATGGCTCATTAGACTTGGGGTCTCTTTCTATTTCTTAACATAAGGCTGTGTGTCATGCACTCTCTTCTAAAGGCACACAAAAGCTCTGTATACACAAGCCCTTTTCTATCACGCAACTGGCTTGGCACTTGTCATACAACCAGTCTTCCAGTACCTCCTGTATTGTTTCACATTTGATCCCTAATACTAGTATGTGGCTGGGTATTGCCTGCTGGGAGATGAAATGTGTCCAAAAAAAAGAAAAAAAAAAAAAAAAAAGGTATCTCATGACTTGACAATGTTTCTCTGCTCGGGTGCTGAAGGTTTTCACCTCTTGCACTGATGAATGCCTACATTTTGGTAGATGCACAACTGGTCATAAAAGTGGCAAGATTCAAAGCACCACGAAGAAAGAAACTGGGGGGGGCACATCACAGCTACAGGAATAATTCAGCTATCTGCCATATGGTCTTATCACCAATGATGCCCTGACATATGGCAGCTGAGGGTTGCTGCGTAGGTTTGTGCTTGTGGGCTCCACATGGTCACAGCTGATGGTCTGCTATTCTTACTGTACACTTCATTCTTGCTCTGCCTTATCAAAGCATATTTATTTTTTTCCAAATGCATACTTCTGTGTATAGCCTTTAAGCCTTTAACCTGGCTTTCAAAGTATAAAAAAAAAAAAAGCCACAAAAAAAAAAAACACCTTCAAAGTTTTCCCTACTTGAGAATCATTGAATCATTGGGTTGGAAGGCACCTTTAGGATCACCTAGTTACAACCCCCCTGCTACAGGCAGGGACACTTCCCTCTAGACCAGGTTGCTATAAGTCCCATCCAGCCTGGTTTTGAATGCATCCATAAAGGGAGCATCCACAATTTTGCTGTGTAAGCTGTTCTAGTATCTCACCACACTCACAGTAAAGAATTTCTTCATAATATCTAGTCTAAACCTACCCTCTTCCAGTTTAATGCCATTTCCCTTCACCCTGTTGCTACCTGCCCTTAAAAAAAAAAAAAAAAAAAAAAAAAATCCCTCCCCAGCTTTCTTGTAGGCCCCCTTCAGGTAATGGAAGGTCTTATTAAACAATTGGCCAACTGGTCACTGCAATGACACTTAATAAAACTTCAAATTCATTAGGGTCAACCTCATATAGTATATCATTGAGGAAACATACCTTTCAAGGTTCTCTCTTCAGACCTCCTGCTGAGGACAAGGCATTCTGCACACCAGACTGTTAACCAGCAAGAAATGGCCTGTGTGTGTTTGGCCACAAAGCAAACCAAAGCAGTTCACGCTTGATCAAAAGGTTGACTGCAGTCATTACTGTGGATGAAACATCTGGTAAGAGCATCAAGGTTCATCACAAAGTACAATAAAAAGGACCCAGTTCTGCTTTTTACAAGACTTCCTCTGTTTTAATACTGCCCTTTTCTCAAGAGGGAAAAGAATGAAGCAGTCCACAAAATAATGAGTTAGGTGACCCAGCTGCTATGTGTTCATCCTGAGAAGTGTGATAACCCCATACTATGGGCACACATTCCTATTAGTAGTACCGTATGTATTGGTTAAAAGCTTCAATAAAATGCTTGAGGTAATACGGTAAGTACCTGCATTAAAAGAGCTCATGGATGAACTCAAGGGGAAGAAGAAGGTCCATGAAATGTGGAAAAAGGGCCTGACCTCAGTCCCTGGAAAGCTGATGGTACAGCTTTTTCTGGATGCCGTCCCAAGCAATTGGAAGAGAAGAAAACTATCAGAAGTAGTCAACAAGGATTCACCAAGGGGAGATGCTGCTTGACCAACCTAGTATCTTTCTATGATGTAATCACTGGCTGGGTGGATGAGGGGAGGGCAGCATATGTTGTGTATGTTGACTTCAGCAAGGCATTTGATAGTGTCTCCCATGGCATCCTTAATGAAGCTTAAAAAATGTGGGGTAGGTAAGTGTACAGTGCGCTGGGCTGGAACTGGCTGATTGACAGTTGTGATTGGTGACATGGAGTCTACTTGGAGGCCTGTAATTAGCAGTGTTCTCCAGGGGTTGGTGCTGGATCTGATCTTGCTCATCAGTGACCTAGATGAAAGGATAGAGTCTAACCTCAGTAAGTTTTCTGATGATACAAAATGAGGAGGAATGGCTGACACACCAGAAGACTGTACTTCAGTTCAGTGGGACCTGGACAGACTGGAGAGTTGGACAGAGATAAAACTGATGAGGTTCAACAAAAGCTAGTGTTGAGTCCTGCTCGTGGGGAGAGATAACCACATGCATCAGTATAGGTTAGGGGGTGGCCTGCTGGAAATGAGTTCTGCAGAGAAAGACCTGGATGTCCTGGTGGACGACAAGTTGGCCGTGACCCATCAGTCTGCCCTTATGGCCACAAAGGCCAATGGTGTCCTGGGGTGCATTAAAAAGACCATGTCCAGCAGGTTGAGAAGGTCATCCTCCTCCTCTAATCTACCCTGGGGAGATCACATTTGGATTACTGCATCCAGTTCTGGGCTTCTCCGTTCAAAAAAGACAGGGATCTCCTAGAAAGAGTCCAGTGGAGGGCGAAAAAAAATGGTGAAGGGTTTGGAGCACCTCCTGTATGAGGAAAGACTGAGTAACGTGGGTGTGTTCAGTGAAGAGAGGACTGAGATTGATTGGATCTGATTGGTGTTTATACATATTTAAAATGCAGGAATCAACTGGTTGAGGCCAGACTCTTTTTAGTGGTGTGTAGTGATAGGGCAAGGAGCAATGACCAAAAGCTGGAACATAGGAAGTTCCACGCAAATATGTGGAAGAACTTTGTTACAGTGAGGATGACAGAGCACTGGAACAGGCTTCCCAGAGAGTTCGCAGAGTCTCTTGGAGATATTCAAGATTTGTCCGGATGCCTACCTGTGTAGGAAGCCCGCTTTAGCTAGTGGGTTGGAGTCTATGATCCCTAGAGGTTTCTTCCAAACTCTGCAATTCTGTGATGATAATATTTCATTTTCAAAAGACAGCTGTAAGATGTAAACACTGTTATGAAGACTTTCTACTATTTGGCACCAACCACAATCCTTCTTAAGATGTAGTTGTATATGGGGGAAACTGAAATGTTAATTTATTTATACTTTTCCTTTGATAAGTCCTGCTGCTCTTCAGAATTTCAACTTTATTCTCTGGATATTTTTTGAATCCTAGACATTACATTAAGAGACTGTAAATAAAGTATACCATTAAACTTACAAAGGAGTTCAAAACATCCCAGACAGTCATTTCAAAATACTTCAACAGCTGCACACTGTCATGTCTACACACACTAATATCATAACCACTGCAGTACAATTCTTTAAATTTATGCTGGTATCCATTCCACCATGTTTGAAATGGCAAAGCAAACAGAACTGCAGAGTGAGTGTTGAGCAGAGACATATTTTTGTTTGGGCAGTGTCTACTGTAGTTGCCACTAGAGCACTGATGAGAACACATTCATGTAATTATAAATACTAACCAGCAGCACAAATACCCTTAGATGCTATGACTAACATATAAAATGGTTATATTTTGTGCTAAGATGGCTTAAGGTGTGCTACCCTAAGCAAGTAACAAGTGCAGGGTACTGCACTTGGATCAGAGCAATCCCAGATATTTATACAGACTGGGGGAAGATCTCCTTGAGAGCAGCCTTGCGGAGAAGGACTTGGGGGTCCTGGTGGACAAGAAGCTGGACATGAGCCAGCAGTGTGACCTTGCAGCCCTGAAGGCCAACTGTGTTCTGGGCTGCATTAAGAAAGGGGTGGCCAGCAGGGAGAGGGAGGTGATTGTCCCCCTCTACTCAGCTTTGTGAGGCCCCATCTGCAGCACTGTGTCCAGGCCTGGGGCCCTCAGTACAGGAAGGATGTGGAGCTCTTGGAGTGTGTCCAGAGGAGGCCACTAAGATGATCAGAGGGCTGGAGCACCTCTACTATGAGGAAAGGTTGAGGGAACTGGACTTGTTTAGCTTGGAGAAGAGAAGGCTCTGGGGAGACCTCATTGTGGCCTTCCTGTACTTGAAGGGAGCTTATAAACATGGGTGGACAGTGACAGGACAAGGGGGAATGGTCTTAAGCTGAGACAAGGGAGGTTTAGTTTAGATATTAGGAGGAAGTTTTTCACACAGAGGGTGGTGACGCACTGGAACAGGTTGCCCAAGGAGGCTGTGGATGCTCCATCCCTGGAGGCATTCAAGGTCAGGCTGGATGTGGCTCTGGGCAGCCTGGTCTGGTGGTTGGCAGCCTGAATGTAGCAGAGGGGGTTGAAACTAGATGATCACTGTGGTCCTTTTCAACCCAGGCCATTCTATGATTCTCAACAAAGGAAATCTTATACACATAAGGGAGGGGAAAAAGCATGTGTAAAAAGGATTGAGCGCAAACACTAAGATGAGGACAAGGTATACTGTAACACTGGAGGACACTAATACCAAACTATTTTGATCACTTCATAATAAGAATTTTAAAAATATATAACAATTCTGTAACAGCTTGCTGTTTTGTGAAAGTACTCAGCATAGATAAGTACCATGCATATGCCAAGTTAGAAAAAACAGGTCAGGGCCATGCCTACCTGACAATGAACATGGCTGAGCCTTCTGCAATTGAAGAGATGCCTGAGACTGTTCCCAGTACAATGGACACCCTCTTCAGCCATGTACACACAGGATAAATAACATTCTCTGTGTAGATATTTTATCTTCTATTAATGTAGCTGGCTAAAACAATCTAAATCCAACCTTTATTTAGTACTTTAGAATTACAAGGATTTATAAAGCAATCTTTATTGGTTTTATCTGAGAGCACACTATTACTGTGCCATAGCACACCCTGTGCAGCACTCTGTGTAAATTGAAAAGAAAAAAAAAAGAATGTTGATTCTTATGAGTTCTTATGAGGTATCTCATGAGAAACAGATTATGATTCAATAGAGCATTACTTCTGTCACTCCCTGCTTGGTTGGTATGCCTTACTTGACAGCAGGATTTTAAACCAGTAGAACTGTAAGCACTGCTATTTTACAGCACACTTAGTGTAAATAGGAAAAAGGATTAATACAATGAAAACAAAAAAATTGTATACATTTTTTGCAGGGAGGTTTTCCTTTTTTAACACAGAATTCAACTGTAAAGAGAGCATAAGTCTTCAAAAAATGCTGTCTCATAAATTTCATCTGCTTTAGTATGGGAACAATTAGAATGCTATAAACTCTCGGGGTGTTCAGCATGTCAAGTTCATGGTTTTAAAATAATGGTTTGAAATTTATTTTTGATATTTGACATATTTTATATACTTACTAAGATGATTTGTTATTTTTCACTCCTGATCTGTTCAAAGGGGGAGAAATTAATGTTTACTGACAATTTTTAGATAGTGCACTGCTCAGCACTACACATGTAAATTAACAGCCCTAATTAATACTCGGCAAGATGAATATGAGTGGAACAGGTATCTGAAGGATTCAGTGGCTCTTTTAAGTGCTTAGTATGGGGGTAAGAGGGAGCTGAAATAAAACTTAAGTATAAATACTATGTAGAAAGCCCTGCATTTTTATAGTTTGTTATTGCTCTTTCTCCACGTTATCAACTTACTAAGATCTGTAACACTGACAGAATTCCAGGTTCCTGTCTGGAAAATGCAGTGCAACTCTGTCTTTTCATAAATAACTGAACTTCATTTTCTGTGAATACTCAGTCAATCATTTTCAGACAATCAAAAAGATGTATGTGACATTCTGAGACGTTTAATTCACAAAAGTGGCATTTATCAATAATATATATTGAGACAGATTGTTATAAAATGAAAAAGAAACACGGAGACTTTAAAGCTTTGAATTCTTTAGAAGTGAGTGAAAAAAAAAAAGCAGCATGAAAAGAAAAAAGCACAAAAAGAAACAGCATGGTACCAGCAGGAAGCAGTGAAATTGCACTGATTCCTGGAGGCAATCCCAAAGTGGAAGATTCCCTCTCTGCAAGCAGTGATCTTTGATTGCTGTCCACTCACAACCACATCAATCCGTTAAGATTAAAAACATTTTCGGTTAAAAGACTCAAACTTCTTGGGATTTATTCCAAAGTTGTATTTTTTTAGGTAAAGAAGTTCAGGAATTGTAATGTTCCTTTTTGAAGAGAGAGAAAAAAAAAATGCTGTGTTGTACTTCTAATTCTGGCAAATACAATTACTGCAAATTCTGGAAGAGAAACCACTGTTTTTACTGTATTTTATAGTCTCTAAATTTCTGCGTGTGATTTAAAAAAGACTTTTTTTCAAAACATACATGCAATACTGAGCACACTTATAATCACAGCCTCTTTATAATTAAAATGCATCTTCATATAACTGATAATTACGTTACACACCATATAGTGCATCCCTAGCTTCAGTTTGCACTTACAGAGTCACAGAATGGCTTGGGGTCAAAGGGACCTCAGAGACCATCTAGTTCTACCCCCTGTTAATTATATATAATTATGCATAATCATAGAATCCTTAGAATTGGAAGGCACCAATTTTTCAATAAACAAGCTAGTGAAAAGTATTGATTCACTTATATCTCTGTAAGTAGAAAGCACAGCATGTCAGACTTGTTAATCAAACCTTGTTTTTTTTGGAACTGGGTAAAATCCCATTGCATTACAGCTGTGACAAACCCTTAACTCAGTACTAGCAAGGCCCAGCTTTCTCCTCTGAGCGCACAGAACGCAGCAGTTGAAATGCAAGGCTCAGCTCCACGTCGGTACCACCGAGCAGCATCTCCCAGCGGCACCATTTCGAATTTGACGGACCGCAGCAGCCGCACGGCGCAAACTCCGGCACCGCAGTGCTGCCCCGCAGTGCCGCCCCGCCCGCGGGAGGCGGGAGCGACCTCAACGCTCTTCCGAGCATGCGCACCCGTCCGCGCATGCGCCCCGCGGCAGCTCCCTTCATTCTAAGGATGGACTGAAGCTCTCGCGGGTGGGGTGCTGGCAGCTGTTTTTCTTTCCTCGCAGCCCGACCGCTCGGCTTCGGGATGTGGAGGCCGTCAGCACTGCTGTCCCTCTGCGCCCGGTGAAGAGCCATTCCCCCGTTCGCGCTCCCCTCCGAACGGCGCGTACCCACCTGCAGCCAACACCAGCGGCGCTCCGACCAGTCTGGCCCACCCCCGCGCAGCAGCGACGCCAGCAGATTGGCTTCTTCCGGCGTCACTCTCCCGGCTCTTGTACTCGGAGTGGCTTCGCGGGCTGTCAGTCCTCATGAAAGCCCGCCCATCCCGCCGTGCGGGTGCGTCTCTGACGACACCGCGGGCGCAGCTCAGCCGCAAGGCACCGCCTTTCCTCTGATAGGCCGACACCTAGCGCATTCCGCTGTCACTCAGGCTCCGCCCTGACAGTGGATTGGCTGTCGCCGCTCCACAGCCTGTTCTGCCCTCCTTCCCGCCCACCGGGTGGGCGGGCGCGGTTGTCCCGGCTGCGGGACTATGGGCGGTGTGCGCTGGGCTTTTCCCTGCGCCGCCTGGCGACCCCGTCGCGAGGAGTGGCTGCTGGCGGCGCGGCTGGTGCAGCCCGAGGAGAAGGAGCGCATCGGCCGCTTTGTCTATGCTCGCGATTCCAAAGCCGCCTTGGTACACACACGGGGGGGCGGGGGCGCGGTGGAGGAGCTGAGCGGCTCCCTCGGGGCCGCGCTGTGCAGCGTAACGGCCGTCCGGGCTGCGAGCGCGTCCTGGTGGCCTTACGGCGTGACGTGAGGGAGGAGGCAGAACCGGCTGATCCGTGAGGTTACGTGTGAGTGAGTGAGGGCGGTGTGTAGGAGAATAAAGCTGTTTCATTCTGAGACTTCCACGTGATCCGTTTAGGATTTAAATCCTACGCAGCAATGCGCTACTCAGGGCTTTTTGCTGACGTGTCTGTAAGCAGTGACCCCGCGCTTTCAGCTGGTCAGCATTTCTTGTAGTGCCTGAGTCACTGGATGACTGTTCATAAAAGGAAGCTTTGGAGAGTTTTGCTGTGTATGAAGGATAATACAAAGAGCATTCATCAGTGCAGCGAAGTATCTGAAGTAAATAAGATAGAGAAGGACCGATTTTATGTCAGCCTTCAAGGCTTAGTCTGCTTTCTGCGGACCCTGTCAGGCTCTGTGCTGATAGTGATATGCATATTGCATACCCAGCTCTGGTGAAAAGCTTCTGGTTTTTGGCTAAATTTACTTGGCTAGGGCTTTTGTAAAGGGGCAAACCTAAATGATCTGTCACAAAAGCTCGCTTTTGTTTGGCAATAATGAAAACGTACTTTTTTAGGCAGGTGATGTTTTAGCAGCTACAGTGATGTTACACATCACACAATAGTTCTGTCTGATTTCATTTTATTTCATAGGCCGGTCGCCTGCTGATGCGGAAACTAATTGCAGAAAAGCTGTTCATACCTTGGAATGAAATACACTTGCAAAGGACATCGAAAGGAAAACCTTTCCTGGCAAACAACATATTCAGTGTATGTTCAAATTACAACTTCAACGTCTCTCATCAAGGAGATTATGCAGTTCTTGCAGCTGAGCCTGGGCTTCAAGTTGGCATTGATATAATGAAGACTGATTTACCAGGTAATGCGTTACTGTGACCAAAGCAGATTCTGTAATGTTTAAGTGCTGAAGACATCAAAGTTTCCCAAATAATCAATCTGTGTCCTAGCAATTTAGTGTTATCAGAAGTGTGTGTGCACATATTTGCTTTTTTTTTTTTTAAAAAAAAAACTATTACACACTCTTTACTGTTTGCTTAAGGTTTCCTGTTGCACCAAATGGGAATATATTTAGAAACCAGAACCCTGGAAGAATAAGGTCATGAATCCTGTTGTGATGTTGACAGGATTGGCACCTGCAGATATTTTAATTGCAGGTTTGCTAACCATTGGGGAGGTAGAAACAAGGACAGCTTTCAGTGCTGGGGAGTGAGATCCAATTCTCTGAGATCTTAACAGCTTGTAGCTTTGAATATTTTTTCCCATTTGTGTAAATGTAGACATTGTATGCATCAGCTCTGGGCCCAGGAATGCAACAAACTGGCATGTTTGCTATGTCTGTACAGTAATCTTCAGTGAGAGGAATCAACTGAGTGTGTTAGAGGTATCCCTAGTATGGAGCTACATTCAAAAACATCTGCTGTTGGTTTATTTAATTGGATGAAACTTTAAGCTAACATGACTCTTAGTAAACTAAAGGACCAAAAGCATAAATTGGAATGTATTTATTTAATACCAATTATAAATTGTTAGTAAAGGATATTTTTAAGTGCACTTTTATGAAGGTTGTTTTGTTCACAAATGCTCAGTGATGGAGAGAAGGAAGTATGCTGAGATTTAGGATATACTGATATTTTTCAGACTTTGAAAATCCTTGTCAAACAATTAACCAGTAACACAGCTGAGAAAATCTCTCTTTATAATCTTCAGTTTGTCCAGCACATCATGCTACAAAATGTTTTAATGTAGTATGAAAAAAAATTAAAACCCTAACTTCATATCTTTCTGAATGCAGTATGCTTTTTTGTTGATTATTGTCAGCATTAAATTTTTCGAATGGTACATTTTGTGAATATGCACAGAAACTTTACTACAGTTCAAAGCAAAAATAACTGACTCAATTCCCTGTGTTTGCAGACTAACTCAAAAAATGATGGTCATCAGGTAATGCTGTTGCAGGAGTAGAAAGGCTCCACAACCATGCTGGAGTGTGTGTCCCCACTATAGCCTGAGGAGGACCCCACACCAGAGCATCTGGATATTCCTGATAGAAACTGTGGGGTGTTGATAAGGCCACGTTAGTGCATATGCATCTCTGAAGGGACTGGAATAATGCAGAGCCAAATACTGTGTTGTGCTTGAGCATACTGCTTTTATTGTGGCTTTTCCAGGCAAAACAAAATAAAATGATGAACAGCGCAGCAAATTGCAGATGCTGAGTGTAGCCATTAACAAGTCCTGAAATTTGATGTACAGCAGGAGCAGGAGCATGCCATGGAGCAAGTAGGCACATTTGAAAGCAAGTCAGTCAGTGCTGTAGCCAGAAGCAGGAAGTAAAAATTAAACATATGTTAAAACCGTTAATTCTGTCTAGCATTCTCCAATCAATTATGTTGTTACCTTGAGTCATTAGGCCCCAGATTGTGACTCAAAGACTGTGATGGCTGGCAGCTGTGCCCTCACCCACCTACTCGCCTCCACCTCCCTCTCCCACTGGGATAGGGAAGACACTCAGAAGGTCTTTGAATACTGCATTGATTTCATAACTTCTTCAGTATCGAGAGAGGCTCCTGCCAGCATTTCCTAGTATTGCTGATGGCAGTGGTTCTGAAGTCCTGCAGTAGAGCAGATGGTTCTGCATTGTATTGAACAGCTGCAGTCAGCAGCTGTGAGGATTTGGGAACATCAGCTGCTGTGACAAAACAGTAGAGATCTGATACAGACAGTCTTCAGTGTTTTTACCTATAAAGAGAAAAATAATGGTTATTCTGGAGATGCTAGTAATTCCAAAGACTTCAGTGATGAAATTAAATTGACATTTTTGTAATAAGGTCATGCTGAAAAATTATGTATCTGGATGGCCAGTCCAAAACAAGCTAGAAACATTTGAACAGGTTGCCCAAGGAGGCTGTGGATGCCCCATCCCTGCAGGCATTCAAAGCCAGGCTGGATGTGGCTCTGAGCAGCCTGGTCTGGTGGTTGGCGACCCTGCACATACAGGGGGGTTGAAACTGGATGATCATTGTGGTCCTTTTCAACCCAGGCCATTCTGTGATTCTATGATTCCCGTGAGATGCAGGCTGATGTGATTCCGAACATGCATACTTTCTAATGCTACTTTACCCATCTCAGTATTTTCACAGAGATCTAGGTATGTGTTAGCAGAAGATGGTGCTATTGGGAAAGTCATTGTATCCACAGTCTGAATTCATGATGACAAACTTTAGCAGTAGAGTATGAAACACATTATTCCAAGGTTGCTGCTTTCATTTCCAATTTCTGAAGTTCAGTAGTTAGCATACTCTTCAGGAGTAATTCAGCAGTCAACATCTTGTATGGAGCACATATGTTCTATCTTATGGTAATGAAAAGAAGGAACTTATGTGCTTGTCATTCTATGCAAGAAGTGACTGTCAGGAGTGTGTCAGTGCCTGGCCTTGCGTTTTCCACGTTGTGCAACTTTACATAAACGCTTGTGAATTAAGTTAAAAAACATCGTGCACCAGAATTTCATGTAGGTTTTGTTTATGGCCATACAGTTTTCTTGCTGGAGTTATAATGCACATCTTTGGAAAAGATAATCTTATAGTAATGTGAATTTATTAGTAGTGTGTGGTGGGGAAGCAAGCCAGTGAATAAGCAACATTAAGGATGTAAGAATTTGTAATTGTAGTCTCTGTATTATGAACTAATGCTAGTAGTTTTTCTCACCTAAAATACTTTCTGAGAAAGTTCGTAGTAATTCTGAGAAGACAAGATCTGTTTTTATGCCATGCTGTGAATATAGGATACCTTTGACTTCACTGGTGGTGTTTTATCCTACAGTTCCACTGGATGGTGCTGTTGTCCTGCGGTTATAAAGCACGTATTTCTGAGCATAACGACTTGCATAGGTAGGCTATAATCTCTGGAACAGCAACAAGGACAAAGAGTTCCATATGTACAAAGTACATTGCAGTATTTTTTTTTAATATGCTTGTTTAAGGACAGAACACTCCATTCTGTGATGCTGTCCTACAGAATCTGGAGGTCTCCAATGTTGTTTCAACCAGTAAACAAAATATGTATTTTAAATACACAAATGAATATCATGCAGTTGCAAGTTTTGAAAAATGTGCCCAGTAACTGTGTGCTGGTATATACACATAAAAATCAGTGCACGTAAACATCTGGTCTCCTCTTAATCTGTGCTATTTATTTCTGATTTATGATCAATACTGAAGGTGCCTCTTTCCGTATTACTTTTTCTGCATTATTGAAATCTGAAAAGTGAAAGTACTTAGAAGGGCTGCACAAAAAGCTATTGCAGATAGAGACAGTTCTACACAAGTTCCATGGGTTTGCAACATTTTATCAGGGTTTGTACTTTGTTCAGATATTGAAATAGATAACGTAGTGATAGCTGGAGAGGAAGATTTCCTGTTTTGATATTGCAAATTACAATTTCCTGAGGTGGTGAGGTTTTTTTTTGTAATCCAGAAAGTTATTGTGGTAGATTAAAACACCATTTAATTGACTAGCTGAAGAAGAAACACCAAGGTAAAAGACTGTTTTTCTTCAGATTATTTTAATATGAATGCTTAAATTTTTGGGAAAATGCGTACTGTGTTATAAATTTGTTAGTGGAAGTAACTGGATGTCATTTGTACAGAGAGGTAACGCATTATTTTAACCCTTTCAGTAAAGAAATGACTCTGTCAGAAATGTTGCAACAAGTGTTAACTTGTTTTGGGCCATGTTTGGATAAGTCACGTTTGGAGAAACTTCTGAGCTTTTCTAATGCTTTTCTAATTTTTGCTTTCCAAAGTTTGCAATAAGGATTTTTTGAAAGAAGTATGAAGACAGATTTGAGTGTTTTTGTCCATCTTGCCGTACTTCATTTTACTGTGAGTGAAGTTTTAACTGGTTTAGATTTTATTGTTGTTTTTTTTTTGTTTGTTTTTTTTCTTATAGCAATCAGCATCTAATCTTTTGCTAGAATAGGTAATTGCCAAATTATTATCTAGTGATGTGACTATAAATATATAGTTGCACTCTTTAGAGATGAAGAAATTAAACAAGGAATTTGGTTAAATGCTTTTTTTTAAAAGATTGGTTAAGGATGTCAGAATTTATACATATGGAAATACATCAATTTTAGGCTTACAACAGCACTGAAGTAACTAGCTCATCCTTATTGAACTAAAGTATCACAGTGGTCTTATCCCTTTTGATGAGTAAACAGGGAGGAATTTCTTTGTTCTTGGTCTGTTTGAAAATGGGGAAAAAACAGCCATTTTGAACATACATTTCAAATATAAAGAATGTTATGCAGCAATTTTATTTTTATTCTATTTTTATTCAAATTTCTAACACTGTTTTAACCTGGAATTACGTCATGTTTTGTAAAAACACTCCAGTAGCTGATTAAGCACTCACATCTGATAAACTGTGAAGGGAATCTGTGACTGAATCTTCTCTTTAAGGGTAAATTGTTTCTTCTTAAAATTTTGCCAGTCCTTTATGAAGACTTTTTGTATGCTAACATAAAACCATTTTCATTAGAGTAGGAAATGGTATCGAAGTGTAGAACAGAGAGAGTAAATTTCTGGAAGATAGATGTGTGGGACATGCTGTGTCTATGCTATACTGCAATACATCCATCTTCTTCCATCTTTTGTATAACTTACTGGCTGGATAAGAGGCAGCTCCTACAGTGTCTGGCGTGGACCCGTGCATATGCTGATAAGAGGGAAGGGTTCTGCAGGACAGCTGACAGCTCTCTCTTCTCTGTGGGAAGACCAAACAGAAAAACGTGCTGGTTTTTAGCTGTCAAATAGGCCAGGCAATCAGGCAATCTTACAACTCTTGATAGTTGGCTTT